AGAAAGGATAGCGTAGGACAGAGTGAGTTGGAGAATGCTGTTCAGCGGCCTATGCTGTATTGAGAGTAACAGGAGTAAGTAATCAGTAATGGGAATCCAAATTGTAATCCACATCCATGATACTATCATTGGGGATCAAGCCAATGTTAAGGATTGAATAATGGATTATTGGCCTAGTGGTTAAGTATTCGACTGCAAGACTGTGGAAGTACTGGGTTCTGTCTTTAATTATAGGATTCATGGATATGAACTGTTGAGGAGTCTCACACTAGGATGAAATTTGATGTCTAGTGCTTCCTAGTTTTTAGTGATTGTTTAACTGAGATTCTTTCATGATGTTAATGGTAAAATTGACAAGTCTTTGTAGTAAGTAATGTAATGTTTTAATAAATCCTACTGAACAGATTAAGATTTATATGATGACAGTTGTTTTTTTGTTTGTATAAGAATGTAGAGTTTGTGGCTTCTATAAAAGTAATGCTAATATGTATTACACATTGTTCTTTAAGTTAAATGGTTTAATAGAAGTGCTTCATTATCATTTTGGACATTTTCAGCTTACACTTCATATAGATGATAATTTTCAGAAATAAGTTCATAAAAATCAAAGAAGTGTTTACTAGATTACATGATTCATTCATTTGAAAAGATGCAAATTGTTTTCATCTTTCTTATTTATTCTTTTGTAATTACTATGCACCTAAATTTAACTGGAAAACAAAGAGGATTACAATGAAAACTATATAAAGGTAAATATTAGGATATGTTTTCATCATTTCCAGGTTTTCCATGATGGTCTAGCTTCAATTGACTCATGATTTCAACTATTGAAATTTCTAAAATCTCCACAAAACCCCTTCTGATAATAATCATCTACTCACTAGTGACTGACTTCAAGAGGTACTCCTGGAGTTCTAGTGACAAGCTGTCACCAGTGGAGTTCAACCAGGTCTGTTGTGAGATATCAACTCACTGAAGACAATGGTGTACGATGACGCAATTTTGTGGATTGGTTGAAGTTAGACATTAACACCATTGGATGCCGGCCGGCTCAGTGGTCTAGTGGTTAAGCGCTCGCGCGCGAGGCTGATAGGTCCTGGGTTCGAATCTCACGGGGTGTGGTGGGATCGTGGATGCCCACTGTTGAGGATTCCCATACTAGGACAAAACGGCCGGATGTTCGGTACTTCCAGATTTTCTATGGTGGTCTAGCTTTAATTGACTCATGAATTCAACCATTAAAGACGATTATTTGTTTTAATTAAGTGAACGATTTTTTGTTGAATGCTACCGACAAGGTGTTTCTATACCAGGATCCACATGACTTGTTTATAACCTAGACGTTAACTTATAAATGCGGTCAAGATTCAAATGGAAGCCCTCTAAATGTGATACTGAATGGTTTAGATTTAATTTATTTTGAAGTCTGTGTTTACAATATACACCATCCTTGTGAAAAAGCATAGGCCTGTTCCTACCATTTGGATATTTCAATAAATTATCTGTTTTCTTGTTTGTTTTAACACATCAATATGCCTATTAATCGCATAACTTATTGAAGTGCGTTTATGAAAAGTTTATGACATTTCGCCCAATCAAAAACATGGTGATTGCTGGCATTATACATAAAAAAATTGTACATTATTTAGATGTCGATTCTTGAACTTCTGTCATCGAACTGGAGATCACTCAATATTTATCGTCAAGATCGACCAAGAAATAAGGAAAGGAAACTTATTGAGATACTTTGTGTTGAGAATTCTATATTGTACTAAAATATAATATTGAATAAAGCCACGAATAATAATAGTTAGATGAGTTTTATATTTCCTTATCCTTATTATTATTTATTATTGATCGTTGTTGGATTGTGTCGGCTTGTTGCCGGTATTTTGGTGTGGAAATATATTTACGATGTGGTCTGTCTAATCACATGTTCTTGATCTGAGTTGTGTTGAAGTCCTGTAGAATAGACACTAGGAGGGAATCTATTGTAGATATTCATCTAAGATAAATTAACGTCCCATACATGTAAACGAAGTAAAACTGAGCGTTATAACAATAATGTAGATTCTTCATTCTAGTCTTTAAAAACGTAATAGAGGGATGTATTAAGTTGAGATGATATTCAATTAAATAAACAAAACAAAACGTTATATTAATTTCATTTGTAAGCGATTTTTAATATAATTAGGAAAATACAAGTTCTTGTTTTGTTTTATAAAACACTAGTCATTCCAAGAGTTGAAACATTCAAAAACAAATTTTCTCTTTAGTACTTTAAACAGATTAGTTTCTAACAGTCAAAACACTTTAGGGATCAGTTCAACTGGCGTTCAGTCACACTTTGGTTTCCCACGATCTCCACTCGACCTGAATGGCAAGTTAATGTAAGTCTTCCAACTCTTCACGAGATTGAAAAAGCTATAGGAAATCTGAAGCGAGGGAGAACATCAGGCCCTGACAGGTTTACCCCTGAGAGGTTTTTTTAGGGTGGCGGTCCAGTGTTAGCAGCGACATTGACTGAGGTGAGGTCTTAGGTAGAATCTAAAAATCACCATTGTATACTTTTGAAATTAGCTTTCAGTCAATAATTATTTCATTTTATAAATAACTACTGTCATTAATGAGAGACTTTCTCTTTCTAATTAATTTGCAAACTTTATCACTTAAATCAATTTACTGATTTGTAGGTTTGATAACCAAGATTTGACTTGATCATTTCGAATAAATTGAGGATTGGATAGATTGTTGTAAAAAAAAATGTAAATTAGATTTTCTGACGTTTCGTAACTCGGTGTAGGCTACTTCTTCAGAGTAAATAAGTGACCAAATCAAAATTATTCTAAATTCAAATAGTACAAAGGAACAAAGCAAGAATATTAGGTATGATCAATAAAAAGGCAAGTCTGAACAAATCAATGTCGTATCATGTTTTTCCGATTACAAAGAAAGGAGAGTAGCTGAAACGTTCCACACAATGTTTAATCCTACTACTCTTAATAGAAAAGAAGGCCTTACTATACATCCTAATTAGACTATCTATCCTAGCCACCTGGTCTGTTATTATTCACAATTCACACAATTATCGTACATACAAATTAAACATTGTTCTTTCTCACCATGGAGGTCACACATCTTTTCATCCCTGACCTTGCACACTTACACACACACAAATTTACATACATGTTGCTTATAACCCACCTTGAACGAAGTGACATGACATTGACTTGTTCAGACTTGTTTTTTTAATGATCACAGATAATATTCATGCTTTCGTCCTCTGTACTATTTGAACTCCGATTAATTATGATTTGGTTCTTTGTTCTCTGGAGAAGTGACGTATACTGAGTCACGAAACTTCAAAAAATCTAATTTTTCTACTCATTATGATATGACAAACATATTAATTCATTTACAACTTAAAGATTGTTCGAAGGAAAACAGTTGACAACAATTCTTCATCAGGAATTGTTTTTCTTAAACGATTGTATTTGACATTTCAAATGAACATTTGTATCTTAAAAATTTTGTCAATCAATGATACCTTGATAATATTATTTTTTTATCAGTATAGGGTTGTGAAGATTATTAAGTTTTTGATTAAGATCTAGAACTAGAAGCACTGGACGGCCGTTTCGTATTATTGTTGAACTCCTCAGCAGTGATTATCCACGGTGTCGCTCGCGGGATTTGAACTCAGAGCCTCCAGTCTTGCGCGCGAACACTTAAATTCCGGACCACTGAGTCGGAATCCAACGGTGTTAATGTCTAACCTCAACCAATTCATGAAATTGCTCGACCATCTTCCACTGTATTGAGGTAAATACTTGTCTCCACCCGACATGGATCAGCTCCACTGGTCACGGCTTCTCACTACAACTCCATGAATCCCCTCACGAAGCTAGTCATTAGTGAGCACATGCTAATTACTAGTATAGGAGTTGTGGAGATTATCAAGTTTTTGATTGAGATCATGAACTGATTGATGTTAGACCACCATTGATACCTGGAAGCAATGGACGGCCGTTGAGGTTAGACATTAACACCGTTGGATACCGACTCACCGGTCTGGAGGTCAAGTGTTCGCGCGCAAGACTGAGGGCTTTGGGTTCGAATCTCGCAAACAGAATCGTGGATTCGCACTACTGAGTAGTCCCACAGTAGGGCGAAACGGTCATCTAGTGTTTCCAGGTTTTCAATGATGATCTCATTTTGACTGGTTCATAATTTTTCATAAAAACGTTCCGACAATTATCTTGTTTATTATGTATTATTCTTCATGAATAAAGATTTCTAAATGTCCTATGATATAGACTAGTTTTTTTGTATATGAAGTTGATGAACAAACTATTGTTTGTTAGTAAGAGGCATGTTTAATTAACATGAATTATAAATTAGCTTTATCTGGCAAATTATGAGTTTAATAGCCTTTATTTATCAACAAAATGCTTTTAGGATCTAATTGTTAAAAATTTATTAAAATCAAGGTTTGTTATGTTGAGAACGTTAGATCCCCAGACCTCACTTGGAAAGGATCCTAATTCTGTAATTTTATTCTGAAAATTTGAATGTTATATTTTCGCGCCAAGAGACACTTAGCTGACCAACAGCTTACATTTCCCACTCTCAACTCCCTGACTGTAATTGGTTGACGGAATTTTTTAGTATGCTATTTTGTGGCTCTCCCAAGGGCGTTCTTATCATTGTATAAATAAGTTTGATTTGTGTGCTTAGTGACCTCGTATTTTCTGGGTGCTTGTAGAATACATTCTGTACGCCTCATCAAAACTTCTTGATCTATTTAGTAGAGCTGGGGACAACGGATAACAATAGTCTATCGTATCACTGTATCTTTGACTTTCGTTCCGTTTACCGAGTAAGGTGAACTCGTAATAGCATTCAGGCATATTATATTAAGTCAATTATAGTAACACTATAAATATTGATGTGCTCAATATTTTCAAAAATTGTTAAACATTATTAATTATATTTTTTAGGTTGAATATCTCTTCACTGACAAAACTGGTACATTAACAGAAAATTCAATGCAATTTCGTCGATTAGCTACATCTATGGGTGTTTTTCACTTTGAAAATAACGGTTTATTTCGTTATACAGATTCACCCTCGAGTATATATGGTACTGATATAGAAGCTTTTAGAAGTCCAGTTAATCAAGAGAATCAAGAAGAATTAGATGAATTATCAGAAGCTGTACATTTAAAAACAATAACTGACTCCTCTAGTCAATCACCTACAGTAAATAGTGTACAAACATTATTACTTTTACTTTCATTATGTCATACTGTACGAGTTGAAAGAAATATACCAATGGATTTATTTTCAAAGAAAGAATTCAATAATTTAGATAATGATAAAACACCACGTCGTAGTAGTAGTGCACTGAGACGAGCATCAGCAGCGCATGCAGCAAGTATAGCATTTCGTGCATCTAGAAGAGGACGTAAAGTGAAGACACAAGATTATGAATATCAAGTATGTAGGTTTTATAATATTTTTTTAAAAGTAGATTTATGAATATAAAAACCTGATAACCTTTAACTCTGAGAAAGTAGTTTGTTTTTTTAAATTCCGATAAGTTTTATCAGGGGTCAGAGTGATAACATTCTTGTTAACAACATAGAAATTGTGTTTGTTTAATGTAAGAGATCTTAAATCAATATACATTAATTTCATTAAAGTATACAGTTATAATTTTATATTGGGTCAATTATTTGAATCACCACATTCCTAGTTAGATGGATTGAAATGAGTTAACTTTACAAATGATAGAAAACTACATTCATTCGGTTGTAGTCATTTAACACAATCATTGATTTCTTATGAATATCTTTTATTATTCATTTCTACTTCATAATCGTAATCAATGGTTGGAGACTCTTAGTGACCATGGCTCAGAATCGATCACAATGGCGTCGATGTATACACTCTCTATTTTCCCTTAAACTAAGAGATTAAAATCGTTTCATATCTTTCCCTATTGCAATCTTTCTTTTATATATTATCACCTCTGAATTAACTACTTTTGTCAATCCGGTGTCCATCTTATTGTGTTAATGATGTATGGCAACTTGGACCGATGCATATATGTGCCTGGTCGTACGTTGTAGCTGACTGACTGACTTCATAATTATATGTCTTAAATAAAATTTTATGGAAGTCAAACAATCATTAAAATTTTGATCAATATGGGGATTTGTGGAGATTGTAGTATTTTCAAAATTAAATTCTTGAGTCGATCTATGCTAGACTATTATTGAAAACTTGAAAGTACTGGATAGACGATTCGTTTTATTATTGGGCACCTCAGTAGTATGTGGTCACGATCTCGAACGCGGGACTCTAACTTAAAACCTTTGGTTTCACACACAAATACTCAACATCTCAATCACTGAGCAGGTATTCAAATAGTGTTAATATCTAACTTCAACTGATCCATAATCTTGCTCAACCCTTCATCCATTGTCTAATGTGGATAACTATCTTACACTCGACATGGATTGGACTCCACTGGTCATGGTTTCTCACCAGAACTCCATCTATATTTATCAAGTACATGAGTTAACAAAGATGGATAGAACTTCGAACTTCAATTGTATTCATTCGTATTTATAATTTTTCGAGAAATATGAGTTCACAGGATGGATAGAAGAGATTGAATTATAAAATGACCCGAATTTTTTAAATATCTCAAGGAAGTTGTTTAATGATCAAGATATTAGAGAATAGTTTGAGGATGAAAGTAATTTATAGATCAGAAATATGGAAGATAATTATCCACTCGACAGACATGAAGGAAAATTGAAACCATTAAGATTATGATAATAATAGAATAGTAATTGTTAGAAGATAATAATAACGGATTAGGGTTTCTAAAGTACAAAAATCAAGCATGACCGAAATATACTGGAAGGATTTTTTGCGTGCAGGTTTCAGGCTTGAATTGGTGGATCATCAACGCCTTAACATGTGATTGAGTTTTTGATTAGACTTCCTTTAGCTGCCTATTTATTTAATACATTATCAGACTTTTTAATTGTATATCATTTATTGATTAATTCTTTAATATGAAATTGACTAATTTTCTAGAGAACAATAATATACTGCCATATGTCATATGTTACTTATTTACTTCCTTACGCCTGTTACTCACAAGGTAGTATAGGCCGCCAAACAGCATTCTCCAACTCACTCTGTCCTACTCCTTCCTTTGCAGTTCTATCCAATTGTTTTTCATTCTTATTATGTCTGTCTCCATTTCTCAAAGTAATTTGTTCTTTGGTCTTACTCTTCTCCTCTGTCCTTGAGGATTCCAAGTGAGGGCTTGCCCTGTGACGCACTTGGGTGCTTTCTTCAGTGTGTATCCTGTCCACTTCCAGCACTTCTTCCTAATTTCTTTCTCCATTGAAATCTGGTTTGTTCACTCCCACAGTAGGTTGTTGTTGATAGTGTTTAACCAACGGATCCATAGTATTTTGCGTAGGCAACTATTACCTAGAAGTGTTGGTTAGACTACATTAAAATTTAAGTATTTACTAAAGAGTAAATCATATAAACAAATAGTTTGTAAATTCTCATTCTCACTAGTAATTTATTCAATACCACCACCACCAACAACAAAAGATGGTCGTTTAATATGGTTTCTTTACGTGTTAATTCAAAACAATTAGCTTATGTTCTATGAAGGAAATCATAAGTATTTATGTCCTATAATGTTAACATTTTTAACTACAAAAGAATATATTAACTATGATTTCTGAGATGGTGGAGAAGATTTGTAGCTCAGGTGAATGATTTTGGTGGAGTTTTGTCCTCTAAACTGGATGGTTATGGAGAAAATATAGTTGTTCTCGAGTGGAAGCCTGCCTTTTGGCAAAATTCTCCCATTTTCGAACAACGACCAAACCATCCAGCTCAGAGAACAAAACTCCACCAAAAACTATGATTCCTATTATATAAATGAATATCAATTGAACATTTTATTAAAGCTATAGTGAAATAAACACTTTTGAGTTGATATTAAAGTAATTTGATTAGTTTATTTTTGTGTTTGGTTGCTTAAATCTTCTCATTAATGTTTAAAATTGCGGATTGCCTCGTTACTGTTTGAATTAAGGAGCTCTTTGTGGGTGACATAATGAAGCTTGAAGCAAATATCCTTGAGTTTGAGTCCTGGAGAGTGGGCATCAACTCTAGAATACAAGTCTCAAATAATATGAAATGCTTGTCTTTGATTTCCACTACTAGCCATTATCATCCATCTTTGCTTATATTCATTTCATTCGCTTGTAACAGATATTTGAAATTGACCATATTGAGAATGTAAAACCGTTATACACATTGATTAAATGAAATAACTGCTGAAATAATATTATAGATTATTTAAAGTTAAGAATGATGACAACTATCTTGGTATTAAAAGATTACTTAGTATATTTTAAGTCATGAGTTCTTAAGTTCCATTGGCTTATGATTGACATAGCTGTTTAATATGAATAAGGTTTAAACTTGTACACAGAACAGTTTAACTATCTATATCTTTCTAATAGTTCTCATTATATAAATGTATTTCCATGATATAAACCATGTAAACCAAATTTATACGAATATTCGTCAAGATTAGAACGAATAGTTTGACAGTAATCTAAACCAAACTCTACAGAAATCTTTCTTTTTTCTAATTCATAGAATATACATATATCATAACTCACTGATAAAGGGAATAATTGGTACAATCAATAAGGTATACTACATTCAATATAGGTTAGATATACTCAAATTTAAGTGACTCTTTATTGAAATCATACTACTTAATTTAACTTGATTAGTACTAAATTACGAATTATGTTAAATCAATCAAAGCGATTTGGGTCAATAATCATAATGAAATAGAATACATCACCGTATATAATAGGTAAAATTACAAGTTGATAGTAAGAAGACAGATGTACTGATAGTAGGTAAGAATAATAAAATACGATAACAAAAGTCTTGTCAATAGTTCAACATTGTGGTTGATAATATATTCAAGAATACGTTCTCTGTTTCTGTGATAACATGAGAAACGACAGAGTTTAAACTTCGTACATAACTATCGCCCATAATTTGAAGACAATGTGCTCTGTCGACAAGTACTGACATTTTATATCAGTTTTAAGAAATAACTGACCAATTATAACGAACTTTAAACTAGTCATTTATTTGATATCATGAACTGATTCATGTTAGACCACCACTGGAAACCTGGAAGCACTGGACGGCCGTTTCGTCCTATTGTGGGACTTCTCAGCAGTGCGCATCCACGATCCCGCCCCCCGGCGAGATTCGAACCCAGGGCCTCCGGTCTCGCGCGCGAACGCTTAACCTACTGGATCACTTCCAGGTTTTCAATGGTGGTCTAACATCAATCAGTTCATGATCTCAATCAAAAACTTAACAATCACCACAACCCCTAAACTGATAACTAGTCATTTAATTGGACGAAACGGAATGAAAAATATTGGAAAATTGTCCGGTCGTTTAATGATATTCAAACATTGGGAATAGAAGGTCAAACATGAGTAAATAAACTTAGAATAATCATCATAAAACATTAAAACCATTACTCAATAAGAAGTGTATAAATAATTAGATAGTGAATAATACAAACGGAAAGAGGCAGAATAGTACAAACAAATGTCGGATATTCACTTGGTATTGCTTTTTACTTGAATCCTCCCGTTGATGTTTGACACTACAATTGATCAGTCTCATATTGGCATATGTGTATCTTGTGCATCTTGCTTCAATATAGCCTTAAGTCATAAGCTTTTTATCTGATATGAAAATAATACTAGCGCAATGATACATTCTATTTCATTATGATTATTGACTCAAATAGCTTTGATTAGTTTAACATAATTCGTATGAATATTCATGTATATTAAAGTAAAGCCTGATGATCATCTAAGTGAACACAATAGTGTTCGATTACATGTCTTGTTGTTCTATATTTTATACATCAAAACAAAGAAGAAAACAAACAAAAAAATAAAAAAATAATAATAAACATTCATTAGTAAGTAAAAACTGTTGTCAACATTTGAAAAGTTAGTAGCATCATTGACATATTAAATGGTTAATAAACTACAAAACTAATACAAATGATAAATATTTACATTGTAAAATGTTCTCTTTGTTATTATATTAAATATTGTAAACAATTCATTTGAATTATAATAGTGATCTATCTAGAGTTCTAATGAGAAGCAGTAATTAATGGAGTTCAATCGGTTCTGTTGTGAGATATTAACTCACTGCAAGTTGTTGCTTCAAGACTGGTCTGCGTCAACACCTGAACTAAGGATAGAGAGTGAAGTAGTCGAACGCGTTGACAACTTCACTTATCTTGGAAGTCTGATCAGCCCTAATGGGTTGGTATCGGACGAAATCTCAGGAAAGATTCAAAAAGCTCGTTTGGCTTTTGCCAACTTACG